AATAATGATATGTAATTAAAAAAAAAAAACATTGGCACTTGTAAGCCATGTTAGCTGTTTAGGTTTTCCTAATGACCAAAAATCATAGCTGTTTATCTCAACTCAAATGGCTAGCTTCCTAGTCATTTTAGGGCAATGCTTGAAAGACTATAAACCTATCATTTCAGGCCCTAGCTTGATTATGACTTATAGCACATACCTCTATATATTTTTTAAGTTCCTAAGAGTTATGTATACATCTAATATATTTTCTACACGGTATAATATACTCACCTAATATAAATTAAGACTTTTAAAATTGATGAGAAAATATTGAAAATGAATTTGCCACCTCTTTTTTAAGGAAACTAAGAATTTTTAAAAAATAAATTTTACAACATCCTTTCTTAGTAAAGTCTATATTATCTTTATGTTTTCTTCTAAACTCATTTCATCCATGCTATTAATTATCTAAATATTTTTGAAGCTTATTAATAAGTTATTTATTATTGATTAATGTTTATTTGTGTAAGCATCAAATCCTAAATCAAGAGTCTTACAACTTGATAATTTGTTTTTATGATTTTAGTAAAAAAAATCTCACTAAGTCTGCAACAATCTCTAAAACTAGGAGACTTGTCAGCCTAACCATTAAAAAAACTTAAACAAAAATCAATGAACTTGTCGACGCTTTGAACTTATTTTAAGTTTAAACATCAAGTGTTATGTCAATTTTGATCTCTAAAACTATGAGACTTATCAACCTAACAGTCTAAAAAACTTAAACAAAATTTGATGAAAACTCATCAATACATTTTTTAACTCATTTTAAGTTTAAAAAACAATTTTTGTGTTCATATCGGTTTCTAAAACTAGATGACTCATCAACCTAAACTAGAATACTCATTAAAAGGATAAAAATCATGACATATACATGAAATGCATCAACAACACATTTTCATTGGAAATCTTATAGTTTTTATATGAAAAGAAAACAATAAAAAAAGTTATCAAAGTAAGGGTCAAAATCAAGATAAAAAAACTCGTCAAAAGGTTAAAAATCACAAAATGGCTACAAATTGCTTGGAGAACACTTTTACATTTTATATTTTTTTATATTTTAAAATAAAATAATAGGAAAAGTGATAGAAATAAAGATCAAAATTGAGTTATAATAAAAACTCATCCAAAGGTTAAAAATTTCAAAATGGTTGCGAATTGGTTGAATTATGCTAAGAATATATTTTCCTTGAAATTTTCAAATTTTTTTAATTTTTATATTTTAAAACAAAAGATTATTTTATATATGGATCAAAATTAAGTTATGACAATTGTCTTTTCTTTACAATGCTTATGGTACAAAGTTTATGAAAAGTATTTTATTTTAGGTTTTGTTTAGTAAACTTGTAAATATAAGGTAATTACAATAACCTCAAGAGATTTGATATTTTTAGATCTTTATTGGACTTAAAATAAAAACAAAGATTTTTTAAAATTTCTTATAAGCTCAATATCGAAGAAAGATTTGCAACAACCCTTGTAGGCTTAATATCGTAAAATTTTTTTTAAGAGTCTTGTAAGACTAAAAAGCAAATAACAAAAAGATTTTTAAGAGTCTTGTAAGACTAAAAAGCAAATAAAAATTTGTGAGAGCCCTTATATGCTTGGTATTATAGAAAGATTTCTAAGAGCCTTTGTAGGTTTAATATCATTAAAAATAAAACTGTAATAGTTTTTTTAAACTAAAAAATAAAAAATCTTATGAGATTTAATATCACATAAGAATTTGCTAAAGTCTTATGAGTTTTATTGGACTCAAATTTACCATAGTCTTGATGGGTTTAAAAAGAAAAAAAGAAGTTATAAAGTCCTTATTGAGTTCAAGATAAAAAGAACCCTCTTATGTTCAAATTCAATGGAATGTTATTACAATTATATAATTTGAAAAGATAAAATTATAAAAAAATAAAATTTAATAACTAAAATGAAAAAAAATTACAATATTCATATGGAATCCATTGAATGAATTCTTTTTTCTATTTTTCTAATATATAAGATAATAAATTTAGTAAATTCAAGATTGTTAAAAAAATATTTTTTTTCTTATCTTAATTGAGTTTGAATTGAAAATTTATTTTCTTCCACGCATCAGTGTGATAAATTTATATAAACAAACTCTTTGATGTCAAATTAAAAAATAGAAAATAGAAAACGCGTGCCCATATTCTATTGGTCAAACACAAGCAATTTAGGATAAGATAGAAGGGACCTGAAATGTGAACAGTGAATAGATCACTCTTTGTCTTGGACGGCAAGGTTTTTTTTTTTTTTTTTTTAAACTCTTTTTTCCTCTTTTTTATCATTTAAGGAAAAAAAGTTTATAAATAAACTAATCGATAAAACGAATATTGCGGATAGTTTTTAATATATAATATTTTAAAAATATTTAATATTATGTATAAGTATGTTAAATAAAATAGTAAAGGAATATATTATATATTATTAAGTTTTGTTGGAAAAGTTATGGAAGATTTTTATTCAGCAAATATGTCTATAAATGAACTAATTAATATTTATTAAAAGTTAAACATCTATTTGTTGAGGAAACCGTGAAAGAGTTATTTCAAAAAACATCTTCTTTTTTATTGAAAATATTCACTTTTATGGAGAAGTTACTGTTCATTGCACAGATCATTAATGAAATACTACGTCTTATTAAAAATAATAAATAAAAATAATTCATTTTTATTAAAAATTAGACACCTATTTTTTTGGGAAAAACTTTAAAAATTTGTTTAAAAAACACTTATTTTGGTTAAAACATAATTTCTTATGAATAATTTATTGAAGATTCTATTTAATGAATTGAGATTATTAATGGAATGACATGTCTTTTTTTTTTTTTATAAAATGATAAATCTAACCAATTTCTTATTAAATACACACATGTTTGTTGAGGAAATCTTAAAAATATTTTTATCATATTTCTTCATAAAATTTATTTATTTATTTATTTTTATAAATATGAGGATTTATAGGAAAAATGGATTGATCAAGCCACTGTAAAACAGGATTGAAATATAACTTTAATACATTCATAGGTATTTGATAACTAAGTTACCTGAATTCCAAGAACTTTAAACCACAATCTCGTCAATTTATAAATGTTTTGTTATGCAAACTATGATTTTCATTCAAAAATGAAAACCCATGATTTTGAATATTGAATCATAAATATAGAGAGAATGTTAATATTTTTGGATAAAAATAGGGAATTGTTTTTAAAATATTGTCTAGCTATATAGGTAATTTCAATGCCGCAATAAAAAAATTATATTAATTTTAGTCTCAATTAAGAATTTTCATATTATTTTATTTTTTAAATTAGAAAATTTCATTTTACATGGAACTTAACGAAAAAATTTAAGTAAAAAAAATCAAAGTAGTTTAATGATAAAAATAGTATAAAAACCAATAATTTAATGATAGGTTGGGTGTTTGTTATGAAAACAAATATGGACCTCGGATACCCAAGCCCATGCGTAAATGGCCTAATACCAGGCCAGATACAATCTGAATATCGTTGGACCCTATCCAATACGGGCTCGTTTATATATTTTTCCCTGAGCAGCTAACCAAAATGGTGCAAGTAAAGCGACCCCTGGCAGGCACTCGTACAGCAACAATTTTTGCAACATTTCTGTTCCTTTAAAAATGATTTTTTTTTTAATTAAAAAAGATATATTTTAGAAGGAATGGAAAGCTTAATTTATATTTTTGAAACTTGAGGAACAAAATTTACAGTAAAATTTGTTTGGGAGCGAAACTGAAACTATTTGTATAATTGGAGAGCATTTTTTCGAGGGTTGCTCTGTATTTCTTTAGTTTATAGAAGTTATTAAATATTTTAGGTTACATGATAGACTGGAGTAGCTTTATAATGCTTGAGGTAAAAATCACCAGTTTTATATAAACGGTGAAATGAGTTTTTTTAATTATTTATTATTTATTTATTTTTTTATAATTCTCTAGGATTTGATTGGTGTTTAATTTTATGATTGTTTATTTTTTTATTATTAATTTATTAAAAAATAATTAAAAAAATAAAACTACTAAATCTAGTAGAGTCTATAATTTAAATTACTGGTTAAACAATAAATCCTAATCAATTTATTAATATATCGTTATCTTAATATTTATAATAAAAAATATATTATTTTAAAATTATTTTTATATTAAATAATATTTTTATTGATCATTTATATTATTTTTGAATTCTTCTGGGTTAACTGAAAAAACTCCAACATAATTTTCCTTATAATTCCCTGGGATTGTTTTTTTTTTTTAATTGCTGTTTATGCAAATGCTAAATATTAAAATAATCCGGATTGCTGTTAGATAGATGCTTTTGTGGCTCTTGATCCATAAAAGAAACTTACCATAATATTAACAGGAAATTGTTTAATATAATAATATGGTACATGAGAAAATAAAATAATATCATAAAATCTCAAGCATATGAGAATCATGATCTTACAATCACAAGAAGGTGGAAAGAAGTGGTCAACGTACGTGCGAGATGCTTTAGACCCTCTGGCTTCATCATCCACTGAGGAGAAAGGGGAAGTCTTCTTAAGAAGCTGACAAAAGCCAAGTTCAGAAACATTTTGATCCCCTCAAATGGGACCCACCAAAACCGGCCATCTGACTAAACTATAAAAACGTCCTTCCAGCACTGACCCTTTATGCAGATAAATTATTCTCCTTCAAACACTAATTATTCCCCCGTTTGCTAATTCATTTACCAATTCTTGACAGTTAACCAGCGACCAGGCAGAGAACTTATACCTTCTTTTACTAGAAAAATTCCTTAGTTAAAAATCACAAATACATGCAATATACAGGTCAAAGTCTACATATATAAAGCCGAGTATACGTCAAAAGCAATTACGTATATAATTATATTAGTGCAACGTCCAATATTCAAAGTAGTGTGTGTATTCATGATCAGCACACGTTACCTAAGGATCCCAAAGAGAATCTGTTTGCTTGTTGTCCCACTCCTCCTCCTCTCCAACGTCAATGGAGGAGTACATCATGGACTCTTCTGGCATTGATATCCCTGACATTTGCATCCACATCTTTGGTGAATCCAAGGGTGACTCGTTAATGGCTTGGATTTGGCTAGGTGAGAGCCTAACCGTGATGGGACCAACGTTTGAGCAAGAGCTGCCACCTTGGGAGGACTCAACTGTGGAGGGCCTAAGGCTCATAGCTGCCTCATGGGCTGCTATGCGAATATCTTCAGCATCGGAGCTTGCTGGCTTTGGTAGGCTATGAACCAAGTCAGGGAAATTAAGTTTTGCATCATATCCCCTAAAATGCAAAGCAGCAACATCATAAGCTGTTGCTGCCATTTCTGGTGTCTCAAAACTCCCTAACCAGATTCTACTTTTTTTCCCTGGCTCACGTATCTCTGACACCCATTTGCCCCATTTCCTCTTTCGTACCCCTCTGTAGCTAGAACTCATACCACCATGGCTAGCAGTGTTTCTCTCTTCCATCAATAGTTCCCCAGCTAAGTTAGCTAGTGAGGTTTGAGGGAATTAATGATCTATATAGGCTGGTACGAGGTGGTGTTATCCGGTTATATTACTCCAGTATATATAGATATTTGTGGGCATGCATATGATATCTAAGTTGATAGAAACGTGGAGACTCCGTAGGAAAGGAAGGGAGCTTCCAAGTAGTTGCATCGGTGACAAAGATGTGTTCTTGTGCATGTTCACAATCTTAATTTCTTCTGTTTTGAAACCTAAGAAATTGTAGATATTCATGGAGCAACCAATCACATAATTGCAAGTGTATAAGTTTTTTTTTTTATTATTAACCTTGTATATTTTAATTAATTTTTAAGACTCTAAAATTAATAATAATATAAATTTTTAATACTTCTAAAATTTATAATATTTAAATTAATAATCTCTACAAAGCAAACTCATAACCTAATTGCAAATATACAGGAAGAGGAATGTTTTTTTGGAGGCAAGAAATCATGTTAATTAACACTTAGTACTGTTTATTAACGCGGTTTGGAACTTGGTGGAATAGATTTGGACCCACTTATCCTCCTACGGGTCTATTTAATTTTCTTGTGTTATGCTTAGGTCATTCTGGAGATGCTGGTTTCATTTACCGGAGTCCATAGCCATGGTGCACCTTCCTTCTTTCACGAGCGAGTGACACATGCATCTCTTGGATCAAGAGAGCAAAATATCACTGAAAGTGAAATTAGGAGAAATGCAAAAATGATATCATTAAAAGAATGACAGGTGGATATTCATTTTATTAACCATGTGGATGTGGAGTCTTGTTTTGTGTTTGGTAGTGTAATGAGTATGTTTTTTTTAAAATATTTTTTAATAAAAAATATATTAAAATATTTTTTATTTTTAATATTTTAAGATGAAAATCATATAAAAATATTAATTTTTTCAAATGAAAACAATTTAAATATTTTATAGAGTAAGTTTTAACACAAAAATAGATATTTTATTATATGAAAAGTAATTTACGAAATATTTTATAGAGCAAGTTTTAATACAAAATACATATTTAAAATGATAATTGCTATATATCAACTCATGATGCTACCTCGTCGAATGTAATACTGCAATGTAGAGGGGGTCTCTTTATAGCTGGATTTATTCACCCGTAAGTACAAGGTGTAATACAAGAGAGACCTTTCAATATAAGTTTGTTTTGCTTTGAGTTGATTTAAATTTAATAATTTATGAACAAATAATATTTAATTAAATTTATTCAATTTCATATACACAAACAATAAGGTTGCCCAAATAATAATATCAATATTTAAATCGTCAATGAAAATTCCATTGTTTCAATGAAGTTATGTTTCCAAACATTCTGAATGAAAACTATAGGTCGGTGCATGGTTTTTAAGATTTAAGGTTAATATTTACGTATATTTTTATTATATCAATTTTTTTACTTTAATAAAATTAGTGAAAATTTTCTTTTTATAAATTTTTACTAGAAGACAAAATTTGAGTGGGATAGAGCAAATGATAATATTGTGAAGACGGTTTGGGAGAGTTATGCTACAACTAGGTAATATCAAAATCAAGATAATTTTTTTTATTTCAAATATTGATATTTTATTTGTTATTTACTTATAGATAATTCATTTATACCATATAGGTTGCGTGATTTTTGATACGAGGTGCAAAAAAAATCTAAAAAATATACAAAAAAAAGCATTATACCTGGTTAAAATGATATGAAAATTTAGAAGGATTTCAGGCCTCAACGCATCTCGAAGACTATATAGGTGAAATACATTTAGCACGCGCTGTCCGAGTATTTCACATGATAGTCATAGTCTGATGTAGGGAATTGGAGCTAGCAAATTCACAATTTTGTCACCACACACACTAACGACTCCATTTCGTTCATTTTGCATGAGAAGCAAATAGTAAAATTTATTTAAATTACATCTATTTTTTAATTTTTTGTTATTTATAAATATATTTAATTGATAATATTTTTATCTTGCAGGCTACGACTCTTCGATGTGAACCAAGTCTAATTGAGCTTTTTATGAAAACACACACGCAAAGTGATTACCACCAAAAAAGGGTGTAATAGTTCATCAATAATAGAGCTTAACACTTTTTTGTATGTTGATTTTCAACCATTTTTCTTAATTTATTATTTACATTAATTTGATGATTTTATTTTTTATTTTCAGGAGACATATAACATCCGGTTAAAAGAGAGATATGAGGGTGATCTTTTGACCCACTTAAATTTCAATCTGGATTTGTGGTTGTAGGTAAGATCATTCGGTAGACCCAATATAATTGGGTGTATGAACTCTTTAACACTACAATCGAGAGCTTGCAGATAATTTTTAGTATTTCAACAATTAGGTGCTTGTAATTGGCTTTGAGCATTTAGTCTCAGGAGTTCGTGACCTTGTTAGATCAAGAAGTGTAAGAATGTACAACTCATCTCAATGATAAATATGAATGACTCTCTGTGGATTATGAATAACTTTGTCAAATAGTCATAAATATGATATCACAGATGAATAGTACATGTGCAACTCGGGGGTGACCAGTATCCTCCTCCTCCTTCTTTAGCACCACCTCTATTTTAGTTTCATTGTATTTGAACGTATAAATCTGTAATAAATATTTAATTTTTATATTAAGATAATTTATTTTTAAATATTTTAATTTTATATTAATTTAATTTTTAATTATTTTCTATTTCTGTTTAATAGATTTTTTTTAAAAAATATATTTTTAAATTATTATTGATGGGGTTACTAACAGACTTATTTCATCGGTATATTTTAGATAGTTGGAAAATAATTAAAGCAAATACCACTGTAACTGTTAAATCACTGATGAAATAATTTTGTTGGTATATTCCAAATAGTTGGAAAGGAATTTATGTAAATGCCACTGTAACTCAACAATGGAATTACATACGGTTATTGTATTAGCGATATACCAAATAATACCAAGAAAATTACTGGCGGATTGAAGCAGGTAATTTTTTTAGGCGTGTACAGTCCATTTGTAAAACTTTCGATAAATTTATTAATGACAGACTTATCAATAGACCAAAAATTACCAACGAGCGATTTTTTCAACGAACGATTTCTGTCCATGATTCATTCGATAAAAGAATCACATACGGAATATTAATGTAAATACCGATAAAAATTTTCATTAATAAAACTATTAAATATTGTAGTGTGTGTGTGTGTGAGTGAGAGAGAGAGTGAGAGTGAGAGAGAGAGGTGATAGGATGATTTTATATCATTCCCTGGTGTATTTTTTAAGTGAATTTGTACAAGTCTATTATTATTATATATTTAATTAATGGTGGAGAGGATATGAATATAAATAAAATATTTATTGAAAATGTGTTTGGAATAATTTTCAAACTAACAAAGCATAAAAAAACCCATCTTTCTAAAAGTTACACAACTAACCCAATTATATAAAAAGTGCTATATAATCTTCAAGGGTATCTCTATGGTTCTAAATGCCAAGACTTGTATACATTCTTATAGGAGTGTTTATCGATTCAGTTAGGATGGTTTTGGATTGATAATTATATCAAATTTAATTTCTAATAATTTATAAATTATAAACTCAAATTATTCATTCTTTTTTAGGAACCAAATTAATTTGATATATTGGTTGGTTAAATATTTTTTGAATATTACAGATATCTACAAGTTGAATTTATATTTCTAATTTTCATTAGAATTCAAATTTGAGCTCAATAAATTAGCCTAAAACCTATTATAAGGTGTAACACAAAAATTTAGGTTTAATATATTAATTGAATCAATTGACTAAAATGAAATAATCAATTAAAAAAAAACAAAACATATAACATTAAATTAAGTTTGCTATTATAGAGTTTATGAGTTAGGTTGGGTTGACTAGATTTTTAAAATCTTGACCCACCATCTAACCTATGATATCAATTTTTTTTTTTTGTATCATTATCATGTAATTTGACTTTGATAGGTTGAGTGGAGTTAGATAATGTATATATTATAGATGAGCTAGTTTTGTTTTTCAATACCCCTACATTTACATACACCATTTTTAATTTGAAAATCTAAATGATTAGGTTATAAATCCATATTTATATATATGTACCCCCTTCAAATTTATCATCCTAGCTAGTTAATATAAGGTTCTTTAATAACTTATTTAACTCAACATCCACTTCAAAAAAATTAGCAAATATAAATGGGATACCGATGAAAAAATTCTGTAGGTAAATTGTGATAAACTTTACCAACAGAATAATCCCTCGCTATATCTATTGGTACACACTAATAGAAATATGTTCTCTGTATACATTGAAGGAATTATAATGAGAAAAAAAGAAATTAAAAAAAAACAAAAGCTACAATGATATGTTTTTTATATAGATAAAATTATTGATTAAATGAACTTGATGGTGAAATTTATCCATCAATCCATTAGTAATATTTAATTCATGACATGACAAGTAACCCTACTCTCCTCTCTTGTTTTTTCTTTTCCTCCATTAGCTTTGCAACAAACAATATAACCCCCTCTTCTAGTTTATCATAAATCAACCTCACACGACAAATTCAGCCACCCCAAGTTCTGTCAGCATCCCTATTCAAATTCAATGTTTTTTGAGGACTATCCACATCAAGTAAGCAAAATTATTTATTTTTTTGGTTTGAATTTAATTTTAAAATGTTAATTTTTATTGCATATTTTTGTAGTATATGTAGTTTGTTTGTGTGTTTACTTGTTTTATAGCTTTTTCCTATATAAATTTATTGTATGAATATATGATTTATACATGTTATGATCTATTTAAGATTGTGAAAAATTATATTTGTTTGTAATTTTATAAAATTGATTGTGAATTTATAACTTAGGTGTTTTATAATGAAGCAAATAATAGCTTATTTAATGGATACATTTTATATTTTGTCAATTTTATTATTGAGTTTAAATTTTCAATAAATGTATATGAATTAGAATTTATATAGATAATTGATAATG